GTATCATGCATGTATGGAAGAGTAATAGATAGGCAAGTGCTTTCAGCTGTAGTGTCCTGTATACACTGTGTACACGTAAATTGTAGTTGGATTTTATCTTTGGATGCCTGTCTGTAAAGTTGTCGAATGATGTCTGTTTTACATGTTCTGTGTTGTAATCATTGGTTACAGCATTCAACCGTAAAATGTCAAAAGTAGGGGTACAGCAGTCAACATTGTATTATAATCTTAATCACTGTTACCTGTTACCTATTCTGTAAATTCCGCCTCTGTCAGGCGCACCACCAACCGGTGTAACTTGGGACTTGCTATATACAGGGGCTCAATCATACCTTAACTACATGATTTATTTTGGGTTTTCAATGTTAACTTTATATTTTATTTTGGGATTTCATGGTTAACTTTATATTTTATTTTGGGATTTCAACGTTAACTTTATATTACCAGGTATATACAATTAATGACCAAAAATAGGAAATTAAGTATATACTTTAAAACGTGTATGTACATGACTCCTCTACTAATTATCCATACTTCTGCTTGTATAGTTCACAAAAGTTCTCCAGATGGAATTGTTCACAATTTAGCGGTTTCAAAATTATTGTCACTTGTATAATTCTAGGTTATTTGAAGTAGCAAAGCTCTTCTCTGATGCAGTCTATAGCAATAACCTCTAGATATGCATTCAATTATAGAGATTGTGGATTCATCTAGGAATTCCAAGGATGAACAGTCAATAATAACTTTGAGTTGCAAATCATCAGATGATAATATTTCATTATACACTCCTACATCAACACTGTCATATAACTTTACTAGCATAATATTTAGGAAATGCTCCTGTATGTCTCTCAATTTTTCACACCATAAAAGGAAATGTTTAATGTCCTCGCTTCCTTTGCCACATAATTTACATGCTGAATTAGTTCCACCAGATCTGTCGAACTTAGCTCTGTCATGTTGTAAGGTGTATGTTCCACACATGATTTTTGCTTTTATACAGGCCATAGTTGAAGTAAAAGGCTCTGTTCCACAGCTATCCCATACATTATGGGTTTTTCCTTGAGTTATATTATTGACATTTAAAAACTTAAGAGATGACTTAGATTTTACCTCTGTTTTTAGTAGATCCATCCAATATGAGGAGATAGTTTTTCTTACAATATTTTTCCACTCAATTTTTCCAGGTGGCACATTAATAAGATCATGTGGTGATAGTAAGCCATACTGTTCGGTTAAATCAACAATTTTCACAAACCAACTATTTGAATCACGCGGCATTACAGCCAATTATCTGATAGCAACTTCACGCTCGACAGAACCATGGTTTCTGATGATGTTTCCGAAAAAATTCAGCATACGCTTATGCAGTTCAGACTCAACTGGAATTTGACCGAGAAGTAAGTAAACAGCAGACGTAGCAGTGCGCTCTGGCAGATGCTGAATTTGCTTTAGAAGTTTGGTATAGTATACGGACAGTAATTTCATATCAGAAACGGAAAGTCTTATAGAGTCTAAGCCATTCAAAAGTCTGGGTAGCACATAAATTTTCACCAGGTGCATCGAAACTTTAGGGTTAAGTCCATTCAATCCATGGAGCCCAGCTCCCATGAGGGCATACACCGTATTTCTAGCTGTCTGAATTCTACTAGGTACACAATCCTTCACACCATATTTAGAACTGACATCATGATCAATACCAAGATGAGTCGCTTTTATTGAATTTTGAAGAGGTTGACCATTCAACGTAAATAAATGTTCAGTTTTACTTCCATACTGTAGAGTACATGACTTCTGACTGCTTATAAAAAAAACCAAATATGTCAACAAAGAAAAAATAAAAAGGCATATAGACAATTTTAAAGCACATATATAACGCCACAGTACCCAAATTGCGCTTATTCAGCAAAAACAGCAGCGGAAATCATACAAGTTTTCTTTGAGACTGAACAATTTGTATTTTTATGATTTGACATTATACACGTCTTTCAACATAGGTAAATATATTTAAATATACACAGAACGTCCACAGTATATATCAACAGATGAAGGACTCACTATAAACAGTAAAATCTACGGAAACGACGTCAACAAAAAGCCATCTTTTAAAAATGAGCAAATAAAGTATGTTACAAGCATGAGGGGGTGGACAACTTTTGAGGGAGGTGGGAGGTGGGGGCGGGAGTTGGGAGACAAAAAATAGGTGGGAGAGAAAAAAAGATTCTAAAAGTGGGTGGTGTGAGATAGGGGCGGGAGGTGGGAGAAGGGTACCCCCTGTCCACCCCCTCAAGCATCCATTTCTTAAAAAATGAATACTAAGCATGTATGGAAGGGAATATCCGCCATAATTATACATTTTTTCAATTTGTAAAATACAATTTCTTAATTTGTAACATGCAATTTCTTAATTTGTAAAATGTAGTTTCTTAATTTGTAAGATGTATTTTTTACATCCGTTACATGAATTTCTACTTTCTACATTTCTTAATTTGTGAAATGAAACTTCTTCATACATGCAATTTCTTAATTTGTTAACGTATTTCCTTCGTTCGTTACATGAAACTCTACATTCCTTATTTTGTGAAATGTAATTTCTTTGTTTCAGTCACGTTTTGGGAGAATGTTTCAGTGTAATTGTTACCGCTGCCGCTAATGAGAAGTTCCGTTTCTCAAGTTAAAAATCAACAAGTTACAAATCAAGGAGTTTTACATACCAAGAAGTTTTACAAATCAAGAAATAGTTCCACAACATACTGTGGATCTATGTCAACTCGTACCTTAGCCAACTCATACCCAATATTTACCAACTCGTACTTCTAGTCTACCAACTCGTACTTTTACCACTCGTACACAATACTTTATTATTTATACGCAATAAAATTTTCATGTTCTTTTATATTATAAAAAATTCAATAAAGTACAGCTTTATTTATTGGGAATCTGATGCAATTTGTTTTTAAATCAGAAAATATTTTAAGTAAATAATTCGTCTTTAGAAGTAAGTGGTTAAATATATGAAATTGTTTGAACGATAAAATTATTTCATACACATGTTGAATAATTATGATCAGACAATGTTCTAATCAGTGATCATTAGTCAGTGGCCGGGGGGATTGAAAACCCTGTTTGAATGACCTTTTTATATGACTTGTATGTGTTGGTCCTCTTTTAACAAATGGCTGGATCAGCGCCCGATTGGTGGAAAATAGGCTCGGACCTACAAAAATAGAATGGGGTTGTTTAAATGAAAAATAAACATAGAAGGGTTTATGAAAACACAGATTTCGGAATTAATGATGCACTTTTAACACAAAAATCCGTTGAGTTTTTCCTATTAACTTCGTAAAAACCAAGCTTGAGGGAGGGGGAATAAGGGCGAAATGTATGATTTTACATTTACAATCATTGTTCGTATCTGTTATAGTATCTAAATAACTGTATATGTAAAAACGTTTGGACTATGTTTAGTTCCTTTACTGGTTTTTTGCTTCAAAAAGGTTAGAAAGGCTCGTCCTTTTTCTAAAAAAGTTCATCGGAAGATATCAAGACCTTGATGATAAATATTTTGTATCAACTTCACAAATAATACACGATGGTCATGAAGTATAGATTCTAGGTATTGACGGTGTTTATCATCTTAATTACGTGTTGTAGTGTTCTTTTATTTGTCTTTGTAAAGTATTACTCCTACTGTTTAGTCCATTTTTGGTAATATCCATTGGACTTGGCTCGGTACTTATACATCATTGTGCTATTGTGCTATGGTAAATTTTTTGTATTCTTGTCTTTCGTTTTTGCTAATGTGCTTTGTCTATATGTCTTTTTGTTTTCTTTGTTGACATTTTTGTTTGTTTTTATAGAGATTAAGATTATAACACAACGTTTTTTTTACAAACTTTAAAAATATTTTTTTGGAAAGTATTAGAATCTGATTCAACAATAGATTGTCTAATAGATCATAATACATTTCTTGACCTGGTTCTTTATTTTGTACGGACATTTAGTTTATAATATTTTAAAGTTTTAGTCATTTTTTTCCATGAGAGGGTGCTGCCGGTCAAGATTTGGGCGTTTTCCATATCATTCATTTTAACTAAACTAAAGTAAGTTTATTTGTTATAAAATTAACTTTAGAAATTATGCAGAGATTATTTACGGATTCCCATGATTTTTGGAGAGTTTTTAGTCCAAAGTTGAAAATTTGACTTCTGCATATGTATACAAGGGAAGTTGCCGGTCAATATTTAGCCCTTTCTACTCAATGTATTACTAGTTATAATTTTTTTCCGAATTATTTGTTAATAAACTGTGTTTAGATATCCTATTAAAGATTTTGACCGTGTTATTTTTTTTTTCGTGAATTTAAGTTCATATTTGAAATTTTGACTTCTTCATTTGTACACAAGAGAGGCTGCCGGTCAAGATTTTGCCCTTTTAACTTAATGTAATCCTATTTTATTTTATACCATTTAATTTTTTATTAAATTGTCTTTAAAAATCATGTTCCAGATTTTGACCGGGCTATATATTTTTTCGTGAATTTTAGTTCAAAGTTGAAATTTTGACTTCTTCATTTATATACAAGAGAGGCTTCCGGTCAAGATTTTGCCCTTTTCTTCTAATGTATTGCTAATTATTTTTATACCATATTATTTTTTATTAAATTGTCTATAGAAATCGTTTTTAAGATATGACCGGGTTATATGTTTTTTCGTGAATTTAAGTTTAAAGATTCGAAATTGGATTGCCAGAGTCACGCTTAACAAGGCTTCCGGTCAACTTTTTGGTCATAACGATTATCAAAATTTTCTTTTTAATTTAACTTATAGAATATCATATAAGCTTTCAAAATCCGTTTCAAGTTGTAATTTATCTTAAGCAGTTCCAGAGAAATTACTTATAATATCTCAATTTTACACTTCCGCAGTTTAGACCCTCCCGAGAGGTTCGAATGAGATTCCCGCCACAATAACGTTGCTTACCTTCCCCTTTACAAATATTCCCCTAACATGAAGATGATAACATCACTAGGTCGTAGGAAATGTTGCTTTGCCGTAATTACACAGTCATTTCGATCTGCTCAAACTTTAATGCAAACAAATAACAAGAACTTTTTACAGGCAATTTCTAATGAAGACGATATTTCCAATGTCATACGCAGGTCTCTTGAAAATTATACTGATATTACCCTTGAACCATATCAGATTATTAAATTCTCTCTGGGAAAAAGCTTCACTAACGCTGGTGTAGACATTCGGCAAATAGTAAAAGATTCGAGAGGAAAAATTATTGATCATTTTGCTTCAAGTGAAGATGACAAAAACATTTACACTAATCAAATTAAATTTGAATCTGTTTTCAAGGAAGGTTTCAATGCCCTTTATAATACAGCAGATGGTAAATTAAGTAAATGTTCAAAACTAAACTTTGCAACTCAAGCTTTCAGGACAGGATTTTTAGAAAACCAAGGTAATTTGTAATTTTGATTTACCATACTTCCCTGCAGCAGTGCGCCTATATCTGACCTGCTCAGTCACTCTCTGACGTCAAGAAATATGCCCAACTGCCTGACACGTCAGGCTATTATTGCCTTGGTCAGACAAGTATTACCAATGTCAGCCAATTTTTCTATATTGTCTTAATATTATGTATATTCCAGGCAAATTATATTTTCTGGTAAGGTTAAAACTTAAATTTTTCATTTCTCTGATGTCAACTTTCAAACTTTCAAAAGACTGCGCTCTGTAAATCTTGTATCAAAGTGAGCAGAAACTATCAGCAACATCAAAATGTGTAAAGAAAGATATTAGCATTATCATAATATGACAGCAAAACTTACAGCTGACTTATCACATGTTATCAAACTTTACTTTTGTTTAGACAAACCAAGTGTAAAACTGTTTTAAAAAGGGAGAAAATAAATGACCAGAAATGGTACAATGAACAGAGTAACATGTTTTCTGTGTATTTACATCATTAAATATTAGCCGCTTGACACATACATGTAGCAAAGTATTTTTGCTAATTTGCTGCTCTCACACACCAGAAAAGTTTGACATTGTGGCTCATGTCTAATTACAAAATTAAACATTTATTAATCATGTTAATGTTAATGTGCAGAAAAACAATAATCTAGACATGTTTTCAACAAGTTAAAAAAAAATATACGGTAGTTCATGTATCTTTGTATTAGCCTTTACAAATTTTATGGTTTGATGGGAAAGGGGGATAACCATTGTAACTAAATTAAATAATCTTAACATGCTAAATGTTGAATGTTACTGTATACTTACACATAACAGATAAAGATGCTATATACATGTAGAAAGCCTAAGTTCATTTGTGGCTGTCTTGCGTCACAGTACCCAAATTGTACTGAGTACCCAAATTGCACCTATTCAACAAAAATCGCTGCGGAAATCTTACAAGTTTTCTCTGAGACTAAACAATTTGTATTTTTATGATTTGACATTATACATGTCTTTCAACATAGGTAAACATATTTAAATATACACAAAACGTTCACAGTATATATCAACAGATGAAGTATTCCCTGGAAAAAGTAAATCTACGGAAACGTCGCCATGCGACATTCACAAAAAGTCATCTTTTAAAAATAAGCAAATTAAATATATGTTACAAGTATCCATTTCTTGAAAAATGAATAATAAGCATGGACTATTGTCATATTGTTCTAAATATTTGAAGAAATAAAACAACACGTCTGTTATTGGATTTTTAAGGATGTGAATTTAAGCATGGATGCAATTTGGGTACTCCTCATTACTGAATCATGGATCGTTTGGAAGTAAGTTCAAACCCATTTTTCTATGATTTCAATATGGTTTCAAAATTAAATTGATGTAAATATATAGTAAATAAGGATACGTCTACAAAATAAACACAGAATGGAAACTTTTGTCTGGATCATAAAAAAACGTGGGTGAAAAAACTTGACAAAATTGGTGCAATTTGGATACCCTCACATTATGTTATTAACTGATTTCAGTTGTTTTGTATCTTGAATGTTTTTCTTCACGTTGTTTTGTATCTTGAATGTTTTTCTTCACAACCTCCTTGACTAGCATGACTAGTCATGCTAGTAGAATATATACATGATATATGACACTTTTAAAAGTTGGAAGGTGTTTTCAGATAAATTTTAATGATTTTCAGCTTTTCTTATTTCAAATCAAAGTCATCCCTGCTTTAAACAGTGGCATATAAAAGTAATTACAAAGATAAGTTATAAAATGAAAAAAAGTAATGTTCAAGGTCAATGACATTGAATAGTTTATATCGCCAAACTATGCTTTGCAGTTTATATTTATCGTCTCAATTTTGCATGCAAATACGTGAGATATATAAAAAAGGTCCTAAATTCTGTAAATACACAATCACTACACTGCTAAAATGTTCAGGATTTTTGTTGTTTAAACACAGGAATATTCTGAAAATTTTCCCTTTTTTCGTTGCCATGTGACAGTTTTGAATTATTCTCTGAAATTCCTGTTACATCATACAAAATGGATATTAAGAGTTACCTCCCATTCACTGTTTGTTTCATTTCATTTTAAAAAAAAGCAAGAGGTTTTTTCTTTCAATGAAAAATACTATAAAAATGGACAAAGTTTAATTTTGAATTCATGCATGAAATTGAAAAATAAACTCAGAGGCACATTGTTCTATTCATAAACATATCTCCATGTTATTTTGTAATTATTTTTGTGAATTTGGTATTGCTGATGAATTTGTTGTATTTTGGTATACCAATGTTCCTCCATCCATCAACACTTTGTACAAGGTGTCAGACCACTAATTTAACCCACTCCAATATATAATATATGTAAAAGGAGCCCAACACTGTAAAAAAAGTGCTTTTGATGTCATAGTTTACTTAAACTAACAAACGAATTTGAAGAAATGAAACCTTTTGTGAAAGAAATATATTTAGATCAGTACGTCCCAATATTTTTCTTGTCCTTGATTCTGCATTAAAAATTGATGATTATTGCCCTCCATAGTATACTTAGTAAGTAAAAAAAAAAGGATTTCTGTTTATTAGTATTTGACTTCTTATGGTTGTTTTTCACTGAGTAACTTAAAACATTGGTTGAAAATTGTCACATAGAAAGGTGTTGCAAAATATTACAGTCTAATCTCCAATATTCCAAAATTTATAAAAGATCACATAAAAGAATACTGTGATTCTCAACAGATTGAAAATGTCAACATCTCTGACGCTTTTTGTAATCAGATTATTAATAATAAGAAACCAAAATTTGTGTATAAGAGTCTTATTGATCATATATTTCAACCTCCCTTTGAAAAATTTCAGAAATGGGAGCAGCTGATAGACTCAGAAATTGAAAATTGGCAAAAATATTTTATGCTACTAAGGAAGTCTTGCAAAGATACCTACTTAAAAAGTTTTCAATACAAAATACTGCACCAAATAATTCCTACAAACTCTTTTTTGTACAAGATAAAGAAGAAAGATTCTAGTTCATGTACTTTTTGTAATCTTGATGTCGAAACTATTGTACATTTTTTCTATGATTGTCCAATAACTTTTCAATTTTGGTCATCATTATTACAGCAAATAAGATTGTATAGCAGGGATTTTGACATCAGTAAAAAGCAGATATTCCTTGGTTTCTATTCAGAAAGCTTGTTCATAAATCTTTTATTTATAGTAGCAAAAAATTATATATACAAATGTAAGTTTAAGGAACTTACTCCTAATATTGTTGGTTTTAAAAATAGAATAAAACAATATCAGTCATATGAATATTATATTGCAAAGAAAAATAATAATGTTGATGTATATGAACAATTTTGGACCCCATTACAATATATATTTCCACTATAGAGTATGATATTAATCTGTGAGCAAATTTTTTGATTATTTTTTGTTTAAACTTTGATGCATATAATTATAAACAATAATTATGTACATAAGTAAGTAATGTATGTGTGTATGTAAGTAAGAATTGTATGTGTGTATGAGAGACTGAGAGAAACTGAAAGTGAATGCAAGTGGTTCTCATTTCTTTTTTCTTTTTACCTCTTTACATTGGTATTTCCTGATATTTATTCATCTATTCATAAATTTTTACCCTTTCCTTTTTTTCTTCTTTTGAATTACTTTCAGTGTGTTTTAAAGTTTGTCCTAGTTATTTAACTTTATTTTATATTTTTTTCTTGGGAGGGAGGAGGGGTTAAAGTTTAATAAAATCATTTAAACATTTATTGCATTAAAAGAAGGGAGGGAAGAGAGAAGAAAAAGAAAAAAGAAATGAAATTACTCTTGACTTATAATCTTTGTTTGATTCCTTAAAATCCAAAACTAAATTATATCTCATTTTTGAAGAATTGTTTATTTTTTGTTTGCTATATTAGACATTTATATTGAACCATCTTATTTGTTAGCATTTAACTTACATGTGTTTATACCAGTATATTATATATATATTTAATGAATATTACTAACAACCACTAACTCCTGTATATATAAATATCATTACTAATGTTAACGAGGCCGGGATAAGGTACCGGTAATTGATGTTTTAAACTAACAAATGTAAAGATTTCAATAAATATATAAACTCTTAAAAAAAAAAAAAAAAAAAAAAAAAAAGAAAGGTGTTGCATGTTCAATTCAGAATATACCTGGTTGATCTATGAAGTTAAGAAAGCTGTGAAAATTTGGTTAAAGGGGCATTAGCTACCAAGTTCATGTTTACCGATTTGAATCAAATTCTCATATTTGATTTATAACATACTTCAACGAATATCCTAATTATAAAAAGTCTGAAATAAACAATTGACAAGGCATGGGCTCGAAAATGTATCAACACTTCTTGTGTATTTTAGTCTAGACACCATCTAATTAACCATCGAGGTGACCTCTGAAGACTGCCAACATTCATATTACCCGATATAAACATAAATATAGATAAAAATAGATAGCGAACTCATGCCATTCGATTTTTCTAGGTCTGTTTGATTTCATATTATAGGTTAAAAATAAATGTTAATCATCGTTTTTATCTGACAAAGGAATGAGTTTTTGTGGATTTAATCAGTCAATCAAATGGTTTACTCTTGTTTCACTTTCAATGTTGACATTCTTTTCTTTTTAATAACTGAACAGCCTAGTTCATGCTTAACCCATCTCTAGCTAAGGGGTTAAATTGAAGGTCATATGAATATGGATTCTATGAGGTCTAATTATTCACTTGCAAGTAAATAATTCATCAGTGATGTTTCTTAGCTTATTTTGACAAAATTGAACCAAACTGGTTGCTAAAAGCAAATTATTATTTCACTATTTCGCTTTCATTAATAATTGAACAAAAAAAAATCTTATTTTAAAATTTTTTTATATCTCGTAGCTAATGTCCCTTTAAGTTTGAATTGGTGGTCTGACACTTAGAAGTTACACAAAAAAGGTGTCACTTGTACAATGTATATCCCTTTCAAAGACGTGACATATTATCATGATTATGGTATACCAATGTCTGTCCATTCATCCATCAGTTAACACTTACATGTAGTATTAGAACTCAAATTTGCTGGAACTAATTTTCAATTATTTCAACACACAAGTTTTGATGTTAGAAAACTCCCTTTAGATTTTGCAAACTCTAGTATGCCTTGATTGATTCCCTCAAAACTTTACATTTTTGCTGGCATTGATAAAAGGTCCTTTTCCATTTCTTTATACTTTCTGTATTTCCTTTCTAGAGTTGTGGGACTTTAATCGTTTGAATTTAAGCAATTTGTATGTATCACACACACTTAGTCCAGTAGCATGAGTATGCCATGATTGATTTCACTATTCATTATTTTTGGGATAGATAAAAGGACTTTGTTTTTAGTTTTTTCTGATTTTCTGTTCCAGAGTTGCAGGACTTTAATTGTCAAATTTAAGTAAATTTTTTCACATGTTGTACCATTTATAACTTGAGTTTGCTTGAATTGGTTTCCTTACAACTTTACTTAATTGTTGAAATTGGTAAACATAACACGTCATTCGATTAAAAAAAAATTGGATATGTCATTCCAGAGTTATATTGGACTTTGTCCATCAGAAAAATAATTTTAAGATGTTCAATAATGGCCTTTTATCAGTCAAGGGTCTAACTTAAATAAGTTATTAGAGAAAAATAACATACATGTTGTTATTGTGGGCTGAAATATCAAAAAACTCTGATAACATATGTATGTTACATGTTTCAAAGAGGTAATATACTTCCTTTACTTTGTTAAATTGTATACAAGTTCTACTGATATTATTATTGTCTTTATGTATACTAAACTTTAGAAAGGTATAACAGTTTATAATTTGCCAATCATGTATAGTACACCTATGTAACTGTTATTACAGAAAATATATGCCTGTAATAACTAAAGGGTGTTATCACAGCTTTTCTACATCTCTTCAAAACCATTTCTCAGACATATATCACAATGTATTTTAATTCATTGTAAGAAATAATGATCAGAGCAGGTAATGAGGTTCTGAGCAAGCTTCCCATTAATTCCCAAGTGTCTCATTTTATAAGTTACATGCCTGTAATAACTAAGCCTTATTATTACAGCTTAGTGTATCCCTTAAAAGCCTTGTCTCATTGATTTACCATGGTTGATCAAAAATGTATTAATTGAATTGGAAAATTAATTATGTATTAAGTTTCTGTGCAAAGTTTCAAGAAATCCCAAGAGCCCACTAAAAATAAAAATATATTTTGATATATTAACTAATAACAAACATATGTTACTACAATTTAAGAAATAAAGAGCAGACAACTCATAAAAGTATCTGTAATAACACATGTATGTTATTTTTCTCTAATAACTTATTTAAGTTAGACCCTTGACTGTTTATGCGATCTTGGCACAGGGTTTGTTTGGTTAAGGGCCATTATTTGTGTTACCCTTAATTTTAGTTTTCTGTATATGGATCACTGGTGTTGTTTTAACAGTCTTTTGACAGTTTCACAGTTCAATTGGGATTATGTAAGTGCATATATACGAGGTAAACATGCATGTACAGTTGTTTGTAATTTTTTTTATTCAATCGGATGATATTTATTCAAGGATTTTTTTAAGCATTTATATTCGCATGTATTTCTTTTCAGCGAAAAATACACCTACATATACATGTAAAGAGAAATAGTGTTTTAATACTAAATTCCTACATTCAGACATTATTTCCATATCTATTTATAAAATTATAAATTTAATTTGAGCATGCTGTCCAAATATTTTAATCAATTGATTTATAAGTTTCAAGTGAATTTCTATTACTTACACATGTATATACAAATCCTGTCATTTCAGATTTTCATGAAAGATGCTTAGAGAAGATGTTTTATACTGATGAGGAAAGTGAATTATTCAGGACAGTGCTTCTAGCTAACCATCTGTTTGGAAGACTTGCAGCAAACTTTGGTCAGAATTATTTTGTGTCACAAGATCACAGGTCACATGACACATATAATAAATGTCCTTGTGATGAGTGTGGAGAGAAAATACCATACAACATTTCTGGTATAGGTATGTATCACATGATCACAGGTCACTATGACCTTGAATTTAACCTTTGACCCCAATGATAATAAAACATCTGATTTTCAATTGCATGATTTGGGTCAATATGCGTAATTGATTTTCCATAGGCGGTAATGGTAACGTTTTCTTCTGTAGCTCAGTCCATAACGTAAACTTGGATATGTATGATGGCTTGTTTCGAGCTGAGACATTTTCACATATGTGGTGAAATTTTTGGGGTACGAAGTGAGATTAATTTTTCCGTAAATTAGCATACCCCGAAATCTTTTTGTGATGCGGCTCCTTGTGGTTAAAAATCCCTTTTTTCACACAATAAGTTCTTTGAAAATTTAATACTTTGAATACATTTAATAGCTCCATAGTTTTTACACATTTATTCTATGGTCCTTTACTTTCCAAATCAACACAAATGGTTAAGTTCAGTCATTATTAAAAATAGAAACATGTCCAATATCACTACACAGAGATTTTTTGTTTATGCACAACTTTTGAGTTCCTCAATTAGAGGCACATTAGGGATATTGACCCATTTGGTGAATTACTTTTGTACTGTAGCACTTAGATTGACAAAACTTTGTATGCAGAAGAATCATGCTGACCTTGACCTTTAATTTCTGAATTTGCAGTATCCAAACCTCAGACTTTGTTCCTGGATCAGTATAATTCTTTCATATTGACCTATCAGTAACCAGGTGTCAATCTAACACAGAGGCACTGATTACATGTATATGTTCCAGACCATATGAGTATTTGGACTATACACGAATTGTCATGACCATGTGCTTATAATATATACTCAAATGGTATACGTGTATGATCGGGGTAAATTAATACGACGAGCATTGAACAGTACTTGCATAAGGCATAAACCTTCAATGTGTCATAGATCATTTAGATTAAGAGTTTAAAAAAATGAAATTTTTACTTAGATAATAATTTGGTTATCATTGTAACTTGATTAATGAAATACAATGAATTTTACTCACAAGTTAAAATTATAGTAGAAGCATTTTTGCATTGTCATAATTATATGTCTTTACAAAACAAGTTGAGCAAAAAGTCTACTGTTTTACACATAAGCAATTGGAGCATTGAACCCCATATTTTCCTTTTTTTGGTGTTTCAATTTGTAAATGAAGATTTCTTAAACATTTCAAATTATTTTCAGTTACTGTTAACCAACTAATTTTCGTGAGCGATTTATTTTTTTTGCGACTTTCGCGAGTAGAAAAATAACGTGAATATAAATCATTGCGAAAATGTCAAACTTGGATCTTTTCTTAATCAACAAAATCAATAAAATTTGAGAGTCATGAACTTTAATCATGGCGAAGTAGACCGAAAATGGCAAAACGCGAAATGAAGTATCCGCAAAAATAAGTTGGTTTACAGTATTCAATTTGTTCATGGTCCTCTTTCTACGATTTACAATTACAGTAGTGTATATGTGCTGCCCCTATATTCTTATGTAGAAACCACTGTTATTGAAAGATCAAGTGAATAAGAGTATGAAAACAGCAGTTAAGTGAAAATAAGTGGAAATTAGAAGAAATTAAAGAAAATCTGATCTAAATGCTGGGGGGAAAAAATGTCCATGCACCTGTGTGTGTTCTTAATATACATAGATTCAGACAATATTTATATAACAAAGATAAAGGATTTCAGTTAATAACTTGTGCCGATTTGGGTTCAGAGAACGAGCTGTGTCTGTTAAGGAAGTATGAATGTATTCGAAAAATATCTGTATGTATATAGTCTAAATACTCGTTTGGTCTAGCCCCTTAATAACCAAACGAGTATATACTCATATAGTCATTACCATACGCGTACGGTCCAAGTCATATGGTCCGGAATGAATGGCTGAAAACAAAAAAAATCTCGAAAAGTCATTGCATTGTATTAGTCCTACTATGTGGACAGCTCTAGTTGCATTAGTTTTACCAGAACCAGTCTTAAAAAAAATGATGCAGAAGTTACTTGCAATTGTTTCAATTTTTAGAAGATAATTGTTTCCTTTCTTTTTTTGTAGGAAGTGAATTTCTGTGGTATGGATATCCAGATATTATTGTGAATTCTATTGGAGGAAGTACTATGATTGCAAGGCCTGAAGAAAAAGATAGAGATGAACAAATAGCTGAAGGTGATATTTATTTTCAGGCAGATTTTGAAGAAAGACAGTTACTGGAAAGTGAAGAAAATATTGCACTTCTAAGATATAACAGGAATATTTCAAAGTTTGTCGCTCAAGCTGTCACATTTTCTTTTTACCAAAAGTATTATCAGTTAAAACTGAACAAGAACAAAATCAATGTTGTTCCTGTAACTCTTGTTCCGACATTAGCTGTTACTGGAACTCATTTTGACATTTATTTATATGACCATGAACATGATATTCTTTTGCGTAATAAAGGACCACCAATACCGTTATGGAGAAATGAATATCCCGAGGCGGAATTAGAAATGTCATCGGTACTTAAAATTTGGATGATTCTCAATCATTTAACACTCCAACCAAGTCTTGAAGAAAATATAATTCAAGAACTTAAAGGCTCATGTCAATTTTTACATGCGTTATCATCAGGACAAAAGAATATGATAGGACAGACTATCAGTATGAGGAATAGGTTTTATCCTAGACGGTATACAGAAATCGATGCTCTTCCATTGCAAAGACGGGAGAAGATCCTGAACCCTCCAAAGAAAAAGGATTCAATATGAGAAATATGTGGTAAGATAATAAATGAGAGGAAATATTCAGTGTTTAAATATACATCCTTGGCTTTCAAATTTTTGGGTGTAAGCTTACTTCAGTACTGACATGATTTATAACAAACTTTTCTAAAATTGGCCGTTTATAAATTTTGAAATTATAAAGAAACTAAGGTTTCAACTCCCTCAGGCAAAGTTGACCTTAGATGGATTTGGCTATTTGTTTTAGGTATTTTTGTCATATAGCTCTTCAACTGTTTCGGTACTTATACATCCCTCGGATTTTAAATGTTTGGCTTTGAGCGTTCCTGATGAAGGTAAATCCAGAAAAGCGCTTCGGACGGACGCATGAAATTATTAAACGTGTTGTTTTCAATTATATATCTGATGAAGGGTAAATCAAGAAAAGCTTTTTGGGCGCACGAAATTCATAAAGTGTTTTTTTCATTTTGATACCTAGATATAAGTTGTCTATCTTTATTAAATATTTATGTGTGGGTTTGAGCTTATCTTTGCATTTATTTAGAGTTTCCATGCACAACATTTCAAATCACATTACCGGTACTTGAATTTGTTCCTTTAATTCGATTGATGTTATCGTAGTAAATATGAAATTGAAAATGGAAACGGGGAATGTGTCAAAAAGACAACAACCCGACCAAAGAGCAGAAAACAGCCCAAGGCCACCAATGGGACTTCAACACAGCAAGAAAATCCTGCACCCAGAGGCTGGCTTCAGCTGGCGCCTAAACAATAATGTATACTTGACATGCTCAATAGTATGGTGCTTTGATATTGTCAATATAATACAATATCAAAGCACCATACTATTGAGCATGTTATAATCTAAGGGACTTAGGCAAATTCAACATATTGAAAATCCATAGCTTAATACAGTACACACAAGGAGATTTGGTCAAAAAGCACTATTGCTGCTGTGGAGTGATTAACTGTCAATCTGGGTACGTAGATGCTGGTGATCTGATAACATTTTAGTTTATAAATATTTTATATTGAATAATGTATTTCAATGCAAATTTAATTTAGTGTTAATAACTTTTGAGTGAACCACCTTGTATGTTCCATATCTTTAACAATCTTCAGAACTTGTAAATATTTGTAACTTTTGGTCCAACAAACAGAAGTCAAATCAAAAAGAAAACTTTTGGGTTTTCCATCTATATATAACTCCATGATGGTGACTTTGGCTCAAATTAACACATTGACAATATAACCAAAATAAAATCAGTTTATTTTCTTTTTTTTTGGGGGTGAATATTGCACAAAATTGGATAAAAAAAATCATGTATACATGTATGAGCATAACCAGACTTGTTATTGTTTCCCGCGTAACGCGTTGCGGGGGACATGGAAATACCAAGCGTCTGTCTATGTGTCTGTCTGTCCATCTGGTCTTGTTAGCGCTCTCACAGGTACAATTCTTGCCAGATTTTTATAAAACTTATACTATAGGTTAATATCAGCAATATCTCGTACAGGTTCTATAATGGTGGACAATCGAATTTTTGAAAAAGAGTTATGTCCCTTGGAAATATTAAATTTATGGAAAATGGCCTCATTAGCGCTCTCACGGGTACAATTCTTGCCAGATTTTTATAAAACTTATACTATAGGTTAATATCAGCAATATCTCGTACAGGTTATATAATGGTGGATGATCGAATTTTTTTAAAAGAGTTATGCCCCTTAGAAATATTAAAATTTATGGAAAATGGCCTCGTTAGCGCTCTCACGGATACAATTCTTGCCAGATTTTTATTAAACTTATACTATAGGTTAATATCAGCAATATCTCAGACAAGTTCTATAATGGTTGATGATCGAATTTTTTTAAAAGAGTTATGCCCCTTGGAAATATTAAATTTATGGAAATGGCCTCGTTAGCGCTCTCTCAGGTACAATTCTTGCCAGATTTTTATAAAACTTATACTATAGGTTAATATCAGCAATATCTCGGACAAAATTCTATTATGGTGGACGATCGATTTTTTCTAAAAGAGTTATGCCCCTTGCAAAATATTAAATTTATGGAAAATGGACTAGTTAGCGCTCTCACAGGACGTGACAGGTACAATTCTTGCCAGATTATTATAAAACATATACTATAGGTTAATATCAGCAATATTTCAAACAACTTCTTTAATTGTGGACGATTGACTTTTTTAAAAAGAGTTATGCCCCTTAGAAATATTAAATTTATGGAAAATGGTCTCTTTAGCGCTCTCATGGGTACAATTCTTGCCAGATTTTTATAAAACTTATACTATAGGTTAATATCAGCAATATCTTGGAAATATAATATGTGCAACGTGGGGGACATTGGAACTCTGTTCTTTTATTAAACTACTTTTATTAAAATTTACATAAGTTTGTCATGTTGTATGAATTTATGTGTTCTTATATGAAAATCAGTTCATGTTCAACTACAATTATGAACAAAGGAAGAAAACTCTTATTTTAAATATATAATTAGATGTTTAATTTCTTAGTTCACATTGCAAAATGAAACCAATCTTTACCTGTCTGTGCTCACAGGCACATTGATTGGATCTTTTCTTTGTGTGTTGAAACTTCCTGAGATTGAAAGAGATCGTTTTAAAATTATGCTTTATTTTCCAGGTTTAACTGCAGCCAACCACCAGTTAGGACATGATCTATACAAGTCATCCAAGATATGATTAACAACTAGTTTTTCGGAGAAAAAAAACAGAGATTTTTCTTCTGGATATTATGAAATATAACACATCCAGTATTAATCTATTTCTAGAATTGACACTTGACAAAGTACATATTATTTGTTAATCTCCTGTGATTGTTGAGTTTCAAATCATCACTGGAGAAAAGCTGAGAAAAAAATCAACATATTACTGAATTAAACAAAAAATATAATAAGCAATTCATATTTGTTTGATATTTGAAAAAAATCTAAAATAATATAGAAATAAGGAGATATGGTATGATTCCTAATGAGAAAACTATGAATCAGAAATCAAATGAAGTGGATTGAAGCAACTATAGGCATGATAGGTAACTGAACAGCTGTCAATAATAAACAAATATTCGACTGTTCAAAATATGAAAAAATTTATAAATGAACATAGTGAATAGAAACCAGGAAAAAACATTTGATAACAAAAATGTAACTGAACACAACCACTAACAGATTTCTGACCGAAATGTGAACATGTGGCAGGGTTAAAATCGTTTTTTATTCTCCACCAATGTAGAGAGCATTAGTTTTGTGTCCTTCCTATTTAATTGTTATGTTGGTTTTAGGTAATTTGCCATGACGTTGCAGTCATATCAACTTGAAACTTAGTACACATGTTCATTGTGTTACTGTTAGCTGGGATGGTGTCCTGTAGACATTTACTTCTTTAAGCTCTTTGAATAGAAAGAAACACAGAAGAATGTAAATTCAGAAACTTAACCATTTTCAGTCATATTCAGATTCAGTTTTAACAATCCAAGTATTAAATTAATTTGAGTTGCCCTTTAAATAATCACAGATTCCAGACCTGGGGTCAATTACATGCCAAAGTAATTAATTACATTTCAATTACATTGATTTTTAAATGTAATTAATTACATCACAATTACATTGATTTTTAAATGTAATTAATTACATTTCAATTACTTTTGTTCAAAGACATGTAAGAGCGATATCATTTAAAAAAAATCATAAAAATGACAACAGGATGGAATAGAATGAAACTTTTATATATACATGCACTTTTTAACAATGAAAACATTTGTACAAGATTTGTTTAAAAAAAAAGTTTTCAAATTTTTTAACGTCATTGTTACATTAGATTTTCAATGGTGATAATTTGATTGCATTTCTTATTTTTTTGGAAAAAAACATATAACGAAAGAGATATATACTTAAAATTACAACTTTCTACTAAAAACGTTAATTTAGATTTTAAGATTTTCTTATGTACCTGATGTGAAATTTGAAGTAACTTTGAAGCTTCCATTTATTACAGAAGAGAAATGGTAGTTTTTTCCAGACTTGTCTTTTGACAAGTCAAAATTGTCAAATATATTGGACTCCATTCTTGAATGTTTTGACTGCTGTATATAAAAATTTTTTTAGAAAGTGTTTAAATAATATCCATCTATACAGATTTTAACATATAAATATGATGGTTTAAAAAAAATTGCCTTTGGAATTTTAATCAAGGGACAAACTTGTACTTCATAATAAGTAAAGTGAAAGGAATAACCTGAGACTAAGATTATTGTTAATTGTTAGAACAACATATTTACGTATGTACAAATTGGTATTGTTTTTAATTTTTATGCTTTTTATGTAAACAGAGAAAAAAATTAATGAATTAAATAAAAACAAAATTATTATACATGCTATAATGATTAGTGAAATATCAAGGATTGATATATTTTTTTCATCAGGATAAATGTTTAAAAAGTATTAAAAAAAATCAAAGTACAAAGTGCATACTAAATGTAGGAAAAAATAAAATTTACAAGTTGCATCAGAAAAGCTCAAAATGTTTAAAATTTCCCAGCAATTATTTAAATGTAATTCAAAGTAATTGAAAAGTAATTCATAATTACATGACAAAAAGGCAATGTAATTCATTACTATCAATTACATGTAATTGAAAACATGCTCAATTACACATTACACGGAATTACTTTCAAAATTGTAATAAATTACAGCTAATTACAATGACATTTTTAATTACCCAAAGTCTGACTGATTCAAAAGGATTTTTTTTTGCATGTAAAATGATATTCTGTTTTGATTCCTTAAAAAGTCTGTCCTTGAACTTCCCTCAGCACAAAAACTTCAAACACAACTTAGAAACTAGACGAAATTTGAAGAGAAACTGACAATACCATGGCCAGAAAACGACAAAAAGACCACATAACACTACAAAGTTAACAAAAGACTGCACAGCAGGAATTCCCCACCCTCCCCAAAAAACGGAGTTGATCTAAGGTGCTCCTGAAGAGTGTGCAGGTCTTGGTCAACATGTTTATTAGGGTTTACCTTGTCTCTAACCAAGTGTGAATTAAATAGAATGTGTCCCTTGCATTGGTATTGGAAAGGAATGCCATTCGTTTTTAGCTCACCTGGTCCAAAGGGCCAAGTAAGCTTTTCTCATCACTTGTTGTCCATGGTCGTCGTCGTCCGTTTACTTTTACAAAAATCTTCTTCTCTGAAGCTATTGGAACAAATTTAACCAGACTTGGCCATAATCATCGCTGGGGTTTCTAGTTTAAAAAATGTGTCCGATGACGTAGTCTGCCAACCAAGATGGCCGACATGACTAAAAATAGAACTTAGGGGTAAATTGCAAGTTTTGTCTATTATTTTGAAACCTTTATAAATAGAGAAAATCTGACAAGGGCTCAAATGTTCAGAATGTTGAGCTCTACCAATTGTCCATATACGTCAAAACTGTCAGACGACTTCTGATAGGAGTTATTGCCCTTAAAATTTTTGCCCTCGCAACTGAAAGTTGGGGGGCATATTGTAATACCAATGTCCGTCCGTCCCATTTTGGGTATATAGCTATTCCAGATAACCCCTCCTACAGTTTGAATACTAGAAAGTTTTCACTTTGCTGACTGTTTGTACATATATTGAAGGTGTGTATGCGGTCAGGGTTTTGATTTTTATTGTTTTTTGCTCTTTTGGGAGATAGTTGAACTTCGTCATTTTAGGAGTATATACTTGCATAAGGGCTGCATAGCGTTTCAGGATAACTCCTCCTACAGATTGACTGCTAGGAAGTTTTCACTTTGCTGGATGTTTGTACATATATTGAAGGAGCGCATGTGGTCAGGGTTTTGATTTTTATTGATATTTGTCCCTTTTTTGGGGGGAGATGGTTGAACTTTGTCTTTTTTTTTTAGTATTTACTTGCATAAGAGGTGCATAGCGTTTTCGGATAACTTCTACAGTTTGAATGCTAGGAATTTTTCACTTTGCTGGCTATTTGTGCATATACTGAAGGTGTGCATGTGGTCAGGGCTTTGATTTTTCTTAATATTTGCTTTTTTGGGAGATACTTTGTCATTTTTTGGAGTATAAAGTTGCATAAGAGGTGCATAGTGTTTCCGGATAACTCCTCCTACAATGAATCATAGACCTATGTGCTACCATGCTCAACTTTCTGTATTTTAAAATAACACTTTGCATCTGCGGAGGCATAATTTGTGTCTCACAGACACAATAGTATCTCAAAGAAAGTCCTACATTGACTTTGTTATAATACAGTTACTTCAGAGTGGAGTTCGGGGGCATCACTTTGTCTAGTTGCCTATTATCTTGAAAACTATAATAGATAGAGAGAAACTTCAAATTGCAAAAATGATCAGCAAGTTCTACAAATAAGTATAATGGTTGAAATCGTCAGCCGACTCCTTATTAGAGTAATTGCCCTTTGATGACGATTTTTACCATTTTTGTTTTGCGTTTTGCCTTATGTGACAAAAATGATAATAGATAGATAGAAACTTAAATAAGCAAAAATAATCAGCAAGACGAGATCTACTTACAAGTCAAATTTTGCCGATATAGTTAGTATAGTTGGATGTGTTTCTATTTGTATCCATCTGATGAGTTAAAGTTAGGGGGTGGGTTGGGATCCCGTTAACATGTTTAACCCCGCCACATTCTGTATATGTGCCTGTCCCAACTCAGGAGCCTGTTATTCAGTGGTGGTCGTTTGTTGCTGTGTTACATATTTGTTTTTCGTTAATTTTTTTTGTACATAAATTAAGCCGTTAGTTTTCTCTTTTGAATTGTTTAACATTTGTCATTTCGGGGCCTTTTATAGCTGACTGTGCGGTTTGGGCTTAGCTCATTGTTGAAGGCCGTACGGTGACCTATAGTTGTTAATGTCTGTGTCATTTGGTCTCTTGTGAAGAGTTGTCTCATTGGCAATCATACCACATCTTCTTTTTTTATGTCACTCTTCATAGGAGTGATTGCCCTTAAATGAGGATATTTGTTTTTCCCTCTTTTGTGTTTTGAGCAAAAACTAAAGAAGATAGAGAGAAACTAAACAGACTAAATGATCAGCAATACAAGATCAACAAAACAGAGCTTTTTGTCATGAATTCTATTCCCGTCTACAATGTCGGTGAGAGTCCTTTGTTCAATATGCATATGGACCGAGGTGAGCAACACATGCTCTGTAGAGCCTTTAGTTTAGTTTCTTGCATGAAATTCTCGCAGAATTACATATGATGCTAAACTGGTCGCAGTTCCTTAAACTCTGCATAATGCTTTATATTGCGGAATATTTAAGACCCTGAAAATGTATGTCGTGTTGTCCACGATTATTTCATTTATAATTTATAATGGGACAAATAATTGTGGTATATACCATATTTTGCTTATGGAGTAATGATACTGTCAATTCTGTTTCGTCTCAAGCGCTTTTCTGTATTTACTTGGAGCAGGGACTTTTAAGGATATATAAGTATAAATATTTGTCCAAAAGGATAATTTAAAGAGTAAGCAGATCGACCCACGTTCTAATTCGCTGAGGTGAGATGGAACATTAGTTTCTTAATTTGAGTATATTTTAAGAAAGTTATTTATGTTATAAATCATGTCAATCGGTTGACCAATACAAGGTATCTGTGTCTCAACTCACTAGCGATATGTTTTCGCGGTCTCAGATCTTTGGATATCAGCAAAGTGGGCTAATCTGATAATTAAACGATAGTGTCATTTTGGCTAACTGTCGAATGGCGATGACTAGCAGTCGATGCACCCAATCACTCTCATTTAAGAGTTTATGGGATTGCCTGAAGGTACATCCAAATTCAAAATATCTCTTAGAGTACATTCAATCTGAGTCTTTTACTCGTGCAATTGTAAAAGAACCTTTGACGTTTTATTCTTTACACTAGTATTCCTCATTTTAAACTTGAATACAGATTGATTGAATTCGTAGAAAATTTCAAAACAAGAATGGTCAACGTTGATACAAATATCTTGTATTTGGATAAATCATAACTTGTAATAATAAATACTCTTTGACATAACCAAGATACTGATGTGTTTATTGGCAACATATTTTAATATAACGTTTTGTAGACGAGATTAAAATCAGACAATTGGAATTCCTATGAGAACCAGGTAGCTATGCCCCACTTGTGTATCCATAACTTCGTCGATTTTTATAACAAAGATTTTGTACGTCAGACGACGCGCTCTTCGAACGACTTATCGGTGATGCTAGAATAAAGAATGTTAAAAAGGCAAAGTAAATTACGGTAACCCCGAATGAGATTATCATGAGTTCAACAACAGTTGCAGCATGAACAGGACCTGGTGATATTCAAAGAGAAAATGACATCACATCATGTCCGACCTCAACCCCATCCCCATAGGTGAAATGTGATTTAGAACCTTAGATGGCAAATAAGTGAGTTGAATGTTGACGATATTTAATCATATTTTCAGTACTTCAGTATCAAACAGACGAAAAAACTCTTTAAAATACCAGGCTTATAACTTAGTAAGCCAGACGCGTGTACATAAGATTTAGCAGGGGGAAGCCAAATCAAATACAAAGTTGACGGGCATTAGTAACCGAAAATTAGAAAAAAAGTGTACAAAATACGACTAAAGCAATCAATATCTTGGTTAGGAAAACACCAGTGTATAAACATTTCAACATTTTAGTAAAAACAGTAAAATTATAGTAAATAAACATATCAATGATTTATCATGTCAGCATACAAGTACCAACTAAATAAACATGAAATAATGCATTTGTTTGAGATTATTAAAGTGATCTTACTTCACTAGAGAGACTTTTGATGGCCTGTAACAAATGTAGCAGTCACCTGAATTTGTGAGGGATTGTAACCAGAAATAACTGGAAACAGAGGCTGTTCACAATTTACATTATGTACGGCACAGAGATTTTCTCCTTCTTCAATGTTATAGATTTCCCATGTACCATTATCTGTATTTAAGAGGAAACCTAAAACTATGCGACATTCCTCATCTACCTGGTTCTTCACGAGAGTTTTGTGGAAAAGAACTACTTCTTGTCTTATCATTTGGACACACACAGCATCACACTTTGGATGGTGGATTCCCACCATCGAATATGTGAATGGTTGACCTTCAATATATTTCTTCTTATCTATGGATGTATGTCTGGCAATACCAATCTCAAAAGCAATGTTGTTTTCTTGCAGAGGTGCTAAAACTTTCATACTTATGATAACTTCATAAAAATATATCCCAGGCTGTGTAAAAACATGTGTTCCCCGTGCACCTTTGAAGCGTTTGTGTCTGTAATCACAAAAAAATCATAATAAAGTTACCAAACTAAATAAAAATATGGCAGAAAATACAATCAAATGATCAAAAATGAAAATATTTTAAAACATGTCAAACATTCATAACAACCCCGCAAAAATATAAATTAGCTATACATGAATATTTTAAAAAGATCAAATCAACACATAAAAGCCAGTGGCTAGTGCTGTGATCTTTTTATGTATTTATTGGGGTTTGAATTAAGCGTTGCCCGAAGCACAGTTTGTATGAAGCGCTTCATACTAAAAACTTGCACACGATCAACGCTTTTACAATCCTATGAAATTATAAAAATATTATATTCTTATTTTTACAATTTAGACTACAACCATGACACTAAGTGTTATATCAAAAATTTAGTTAGTTTTTTCTTTCCATTGCTTTTAACATTTTGACGGTTGCACGCACGTGCAGTGATAGCTGCTGTATTTTATACTGAAATAAAATTTAATACTGGAGTGCCTTGCGAATGTTGTCAGCAAATCAAAATTCTATTCTATTAAACATACATGTAGTTTGTTTTGTACTGCTTTGATACTATTTCATTTGAGTCGTTTTGAAGTTGATATTCACATAAAAAAACCAACATTACCAATTTTACTGGATCAGTAAAATATTTTAAATTGATTTTATTGTATCAAATTTAATTTTAATCAGTTTAAATCATATTTAATTCTGCCAAGCTGCTTCGGGATAGTTGTTCATAATTTATAGAAATTATTTGTGTTGAATTTTAAGTTCTAAGAATATGTTTTACATTCTTTTCTTCACAATTAAAAAGCATCAACTCCTACAATTTCATTGGTCGAGAGCACACTGCTATATTCATAGATGTATAAACCCATAGATGAAGCTCAACACTGACTTCAAAGGTTCTATGTGCGTTGTAATGGCTTTCACATTTATCTGATAATGACATGAACCAGTTGGTCATTGAGATGTGATTGACAATCTAGACAATAGAAAAGTGACAATTAAAAGCTACTTATAATTAGCAGTCAAACATGCTAAAAATCAGAAAGAAACAAAATCAATGGGTTTATACATCTATGCTATATTCTAAATAATATTAAGATTTTGTGATATATGAAGTAATACATTGATCTAAAAGACGTCAAAATCAAATTCAATCTATTTAGAAAAGCAGGCGAGATATCCCAGCGCACGTGTACACTCTTGTTTATAATGACCTGTATACAGTAAGTAAAACAGCTGCAGTATATATATATATATACCTGCTAGAATTATATGACTCTTCTGCAACTTCCTGTATGCTGTTAGAAAAAGTTGTTCCATCTTCCAAAACACTCACTTCCTTATGTGCAGTTTTTTTATCAAGGAAAAATCTCATTTCTGTAGACGAAGAAAAAAGACTTCATAAACTTTAAAAACTAATATCATTCTAGACCAGTAGATATTTACTTTTCAGCACAATGCATATTTGTTATTGGAATTCAAAATTATCAAATATTTACTACAACAACTATTCAACGTTGAGAGTTTTCGTTTACCAGATAGACGTATTGAAATATATGTCTGTTCCAAGTGTACAACCTGACTGATTATATTCATGAATCTAGCCGTCATATTTTTACGGACAAGGTTTAATACACAATATCATGCATGCTTTTTGTTTCTTCTTGTTTATTTCTAGCGTCATAGGCGACAATACTTACATTTTCTAAATTTGATTATTTTGATAATACACTTGAAGAACTACGACATAAAGATTATGCGTGATATTAACGCTTTATTATTCTGTTTTAGAAATCAAAGTCAAATGGTGACATGAACATCTTCGAAGGGAAATTAATTGTTTATAGTATCCATGGCAACCCTCATTTTAAACCAAAGGAGTCGGTTCACTAACACATAATTTTAAATTGGCCTTAAAAACCCGATTTTTTTAAACTACGATGATGTTATAAAAATAATATGAAAACATGTCTTAAAATGTCCATTTTTTTTTATTATAAAAGATTTGTTCACCAATTATGTTATAAGTGATGTATTTGTGACGTCATAAATGTAGGTGAATTTGTGAACGCCTGATTTTTGGCATAATTTGGTGAAATTTATGTCCATTTTTGCTGAAAAGTAACAGTGGCGCCACCCTTTTCCCACACATATTTTTGATGAAATATTTTAAATATACCACATTCTAAACTTTTGAACCAAAGTTTCAATGGACGAAGGGTGGCGCCACATATGAAATCATGAAATAAGGTCTACAAAGATGACGAATTTCTAGAAAAATGGACTAAAATGAAATCTAAACTTATTTCCGGCTAATATATTTATAATATATGAAGAAGATACACATTTTTTCTTTTTATACTTTCAACAATAATTGACTCATAATACATACAGCAATACACACACAGTAAATGCACTCACACATTTGAAGTTTTAAAAATGAACCTTATGAAGACCCTTTATTGAGATTCCTGTCTCTACTCCTTTATGAAAATTATGAAGCCTTTTCTTTTAATTCTGAAGAAAATATTTCCATGTGTTTCAAACTTTTCATTGTAAATAAATACCCTGCAGTTTTTTTCAAAAATGAATTAGAAAAAAAATATTATACCAATTAATCCAGTCATAGCGTACCAAAGTTGACTTTTTACACACTATGTGCACAGCAGGCCAACCTAATGACTTGATTTGATATGATTTGATTTTTTGTGTTTTAACGTCACTTTTAAGCACCGCTTTTGGGTTATTTCGTGGCGGCCAGTTTTTATTGGTGGAGGAAGCCGGAATGCCCGGAGAAAACCACCGACCTTCGATAGGAAAACTGACAATCCTAGTAAATTAAGATTGGAGTCGAGTGCACCCGCACGCGCGGGGTTCGAACTCGCAACCTCAGTGTTGACTGGCTAGTGATTACAGTAGTAACTACTTAGACCACTCGGCCACCGAGGCCCCACCTAATGACTTGAAAATGAAATGCTACTTTTGTCCTTTAAAATGAATGTTATATATGTAAAAACCATAATGCTATTTTTGAACTTCTGCAATTGGATTTATTTGGCTCTTTAAAAAAAAAGTTCATTGTTTCACAGGAAATGTATGGTTCAACCCAACACTTTTTCTTAAAATGTCCTGTACCAAGTCATGAATATGGCAATTGTTATCAAAAGTTCGTTTCCATGTATGTTGGCGTTTGTTTTTGTTGCACTTCAGTGTTCCTGTTGTTCCTTTGTTTTTTTTTTTCTTATAGTTGATGTGTTTCTCTCGGTTTTAGTTGGTAACCCGGATTTGATTTCTCTCAATCGATTTATGACTTTTGAACAGCGGTATACTACTGTTGCCTTTATTGAAATCATTTAGTATATTTATTGATGTGATAAATGTTGGTACTCACGACGAATCTGGGAAAAGATGTCTGGATTGTTGGTTATCACTACAACAGATGAAATGAAAAAATTTAAATAATTTGATTATCAAAACATAAATATAGTTCATGCTCTTTTGAGATGCAAGTATTTTTTTACGCTGGAGTAGGCACTCAAAAATATCTATCAAACTGCATAACTTTTTTCAAATTTTAATAAGGAAGGAAACCTCCGAGTTTACAGTCAATGACAATTTGGGAAACGCAATCTCTTAAATATCGTATCAAAAAGTGAATTGTATGCACATATGCAAGGGCTGCTGGAATGTTGTTTCACTGAAATGAACATCAGAAAATTTATTTCGTTCCTTCTTTCGAGAAGAGAAGTTCTAGCCTAGCCCTCAATGCAATTTTCTTAATGTTAGCCAAAAAACGTTGTATTCTTTATTCTAATTATAGGATATATGCAATAACTTATTCCTAGTTATTGTTTTGATTCATTCAGTACGATGAAGTCTTTTTATATAGCGGAACATGACATTAAACCATAAAGCCCGCTTCCTCCTAATTGTCAAAAGTCCTTCAAATAGTATGTCTGATATGAATAAAGGAATAAGTCGACAAGAGGATAACCTTTTTTGGTAATATAGGGATAGATCTATGAAGCGTAACAAATGTTGTCATGCAGTAAATCAAAAGTGCAGAGAGTCTTCATTAAAGGAGAATAACACATTTAATTGGTCAATAACATATTACATTCAATATGTTCATTTTGTAGCTCTTACCGAGTTGATGTTTTGGTGTCAATAGTTTTCATTTCATAGGTGTCATTTCTACCTGGTTCATACTTTGTATTTTGATAATTTTAATGAAGACAATTACTTGTATGTTGTTTTTCTTTTCAGTATCCTTCGTGGTCATCATGGTTAGTTGGGAGTCCGTATATATTAAAACAGAAACATTTCGACTATATTTTGTATATTTTATCCAATTAACGTGGTTTCATGATTTACAAGTTTTGAAAGGTTTGCGAAAGATTACAGTGATTGCAAGAACTTTACGGAGCTAAATTCGGTCAAGAATAAATGAAAACAATACCAAAAAGCAATCGGACCAGGTTAAATTTTGCAAAATATGGCCATGAATTTCAACTGTGCCATAATATATAGAAAGGACAACAATTTGATTAATAAACGAAACTGTTTCAAAAGCCTGGACGCCTGTAAAACAAATATCTGCAACAGAATTCATTTTGCAAAAACATGACGAATTTATGCAATTTCGGACAAGGTTTCAACAAAAAACTCTTAATAAATTTCGCCTGACCTTTATCAGGAAAGCTCAATCCATAATTGTTAAAAACAGGAATGACAAATACTTAATCACGTTGGAAGCTTTATCACCAAAGGATACCAAAAAATAATAGTCAAATTCATTTAAGGTCAACTTTATCTGAATGTTCTGTAACCAAATAATGCCGATGTTAATAGAAGAGAGGCGAAAGATACCAAAGGAGCATTCAAACTCATAAGTCGAAAATTAATTTCAATCATACGTAATAGTTACCTTGTACTTAAATAGAATTAGAGATTTACAAAAACTACTGACAAAATAAATGAAGTTATTTTCGCCTTTGAATTGTTTTACATTTGTCATTTCGGGGCCTTTTATAGCTGACTATGAGGTATGGGTTTTACTCATTGTTGAAAGTGACCTATAGTTGTTAATTTCTGTGTCATTTGGTCTCTGGTGGAGAGTTGTCTCATTAGCAATCATACCACATCTTCTTATTTTTATAATCTTCATTTACTATTACTGGGTAGATACCACTGCTGGTGGAGTGTTAACGCTAGCGCCCTAGGGCATCATCAGCCCAGAAGTCAGTGCTTCGGAACTGATATGATATTCAACATATTTTTTCTAAAATTCCTCGTTGATAAATCAATAAATTACGAAGAAACTAAAGTCCCTACTCCCTCTGGTTCTGACAAAGTTTAACTAAGCTGAATTTGGCTATCCTTTTATGACCATTTTGTCCACACATAGCTACTAACGTTTCTATGTTTTTATACATCTCAGGGTTTCAAAATTTTGGGTTTGAACGTTCTTGGTTAAGGTTAATCTAGAAAAGTGATTCGGACGCTCAGTTTCATCTGTATATTTACATTTTGGTCTATATAAGGGTCGATCTTGTCTTCATAATTACTAAGGCAAAGGGCTTACCCTAAAACGTAAACGTAGGATACAGTCACATAGTTGGGCCAATACTTCATTGAATTTTTTGAGAACTTAATGGAAAATATCTTATTTTTTAAAGTACATAAATTTTTGGGTGAGCTATGAGATCACTTCCAAATTTCAGTAATGTTAAAGATAGATTGTAAAATTAAGAATACCATGAATGATAAGGCACAAATCCCCCCATCAACTTATATATGGGATGAAATTTCACCTCAAGAATTTCAAACTGCCTTATCATCAAATAAGATACAAAACAAAATAAAAGATCTTAATGATAATATTTATGATAATATTGATATTTTTGTTTATGATTTAAATTCCATCATAACAGAAGCAGTTGACATCTCCCTTAAACTAAAATGCCCCAAAAAGAAAAACCCAAAACATTTAAATAATATAAGACAACCTAAATGGTTTGATATATCACTTACACGCTTAAGACGACAATTAGATAGTAAGGAAAAGCTCCTTAAAAATATAGCAAAGATCCAATTGTTAGGACATCTTATTTTTCACTATTAAAATTGTACAGAAAAAACAGAAATTAAAGGAATTTAGACGGAGTGTTATGGATGAGCTTGACAACCTACATGAAAATAGCCCTAATAAATACTGGAATTTACTAAAGGATTAATCTAAAGATAAAAACAAATCTACATCTCCAGACATTCCAAGTAATACATGGTTTGAGTATTTTAAAGAGCTAAATAAAAGTAAAATTAATACAACCGATAACAATTTTATTCAACGTTTTAAGCAATTGGAAAAGGAAAAAAATATTTTCAGAACTTGACTTCCAGATTTATGATAAAGAAGTAATTGTAGCAATATATACATTAAAAAACAAGAAGTCAAGTGGCTTTGACATGATCTTAAATGAAATGCTTAAATGTAGCCAGTCAATAAAAAATTATTTAATCATATTCTGGTAACTGGTTCATTCCCTACTATGTGGGCAAAAGGATTTATAGTGCCAATATTCAAAAGTGGTTCTACTGATGATCCCTCAAATTATAGAGGTATAACCATTGGAAGTGCACTAGGAAAACTATTTGCAAAAATATTAAACACAAGGCTAGAGAGTTTTTTATCCAAGAGAAATATAATATGTAAAGAACAGATTGGTTTTTGCAAGAAAAAGAGAACAAGTGACCATATGTTTGTTCTCAAAACATTAATAGAAAAATATACTCAAATGGGTCCTAAGCTTCTCTTTTCTTGTTTCGTCGACTTCAAAAAGGCATTTGATACAGTGTGGCATATGGGTCTCTTCTATACACTAAGACAATATGGTATAAGTGATTTATATTATAATGTTATTAAAAACATGTATAAAAAGACTGAGTTGAATGTGAGAATTGGCAGACCTCATATGACAGACTCCTTCTCATCTAATATAGGTTTTCGCCAAGGGGATAATCTTAGCCCTAACCTTTTTAAATTATTCATTAATGACCTTCCAGAACTATTTGATAAGACTTGTGACCCAGTTCAACTTGACTCAATTCAGTTGAACTGCTTATTATATGCTGATGATGTAGTTTTGCTATCTGAAACAGCAGAAGGCTTACAAAATTGTTTAGAGAAGTTTGTACTGTAATAAATGGGGATTAGAAATTAACTTTAAGAAAACAAAAAGTTTGGTTTTCAATTGTACAGGAAAAAGAAATCATTCAACTTTTAAATTGAATAATTGTCCTATTGATAAAGCTAGACAGTATACATACTTAGTGATAAACTTCAGTACCTCTGGAAGCTTTACAGAGGCAAAACATGATCTATATAAAAGAGGACTCAAAGCCCTTTTCAAAATTTATAAAATATTTAAAGATCATAAACCCAAAATTAAAACTTTATTACATATATTTGACCACACAGTGAAACCAATTTTAACTCATGGAAGTGAAATTTAGGGCGCTTTAGATTCAAAAAAGTTAACTGACAAAGGACATTGTTATTTGGAAAAATTATGCAAAGAACTGCAAACTGAATCAGTTCATTCCAAAATCTCTAAATTTTCACTGGGAGTAGGAAAAAGAAGCACAGATATGGCAGTGATAGGTGAGCTAGGGAGATACCCATTATTTATTGAAGTTATAGTTAATATGTTTTCATACTTATCACGTTTAACAAATACAGAGGACAAATTATTGTCTGAAGCCCTCCTTGTATCAAAATCCTTATCGAACCATAGTAAGAAAAGTTGGTATAATTCTATGAGTTCATTAGCAAAATACTTAGACATAGATTTATTACAAGTTTTAAATGTGAATTCCAATTTGAAAAGATTTATTTTGAACAGACCAAAATTAAAGTATAATCAGTTGTGGTATTCATCTTTAAACGATGACAGAACACATATGTCATTTGGAAATAAACTAAGAACATATATAGACTTTTTAAGAGAAATATAAGTTTTGAACCTTATCTGTCTATAGGCAATAGGAATCTGAGAATTCAGATGACAAAATTCAGAATAAGTAACCATAATCTAGAAATAGAGAGAGGTAGATACAGGGGACTTCAGGCGATAAATATAATTTGTTTTCTTTGTAAAAAAGAAGTGGAAGACGAACTCCACTTTCTACTAAAATATTTATCTTTAGAAAGTGAGAGAGTTTCCATCATTCCAAACAAAAATTTTTACAATTTAGATTATCAATCACAATTTATTTGGCTAATGTCCAATGAAGATAGTCAAATATTTAATCAAGTGAGTAATTTAATTTATAATTTAAATATTGTTCGAAAACAACTATTAGAAACTTAGTAAAGTTATAAATGTTACTGTTAAGAAGACAGATGCATAATTAAGCTATTTATAATTGTGCCTGTTATTATGTGCTTATGACAGCACCAGAAAAAAAAACAGAATATTTGAATCCAGTTTTCTACATTTTTAGGACCACTGTATTTGTCAATGTGGAAACACATAATATTTATAAATATACATTATTGTGTCCTTTTCTTTTCTTTTCATTTTTTTCATAGATTTAATTGTATTCAAATCATTGTTATTATTGTAATCATTTGTACCAAATTTGATTTGATTATTCTGCCTGTAATTGGCGTCTTTAATTGACAATCAAATATATTTGAATTTACAATTTTGATAATTTTTCACTCACTTTTTTAATTAGAAACAAACTACTTTGAAAAAAGAATCTGGCCACATAAGAGTAGTCAAACTATATGACACGTATAAGATGGATACCTTTCAAATGTTTTTGATTGATCAAGCACAGTTACTGATGGAAGCTCATCATGAAAAATTACTAGTATTCTGGCCATTTGAGTATAACAAATAGACCCAATGCAATATGTAAATACTAACATAATAATATTAAACAAAACCGAATATTTGCAGAAATAACATCAGCAGTGTCCTTTGATAATTTTGGGTCCTCAATGCTTTTGAACTTTGTATTTTATTTAGACTTTTCAACTGTTTTGATTCGATTGTCACTAATGAGTCTTTTTTAGACACAGTGCTCGTCTGGTGTACAACATTTCAGTCTGGTATCTATGATGAGTTTATTTGTCTGTAAACTTACGACTTCTGTTTTTTTATTATAATTCATGATTTTTTTTTTGTTGGGTTGAGTGATATCATCGAAGACAAGCTAAATTTTCAACTATGCGGTGAAAAGTTAATTTGTGTACTTATAAAAACTTATATATCGTAGGGCAATATTTGACAGGTACGTGTGTATGCTAGCATTATGTTTTTACCTTTTAGAAACTCAAAGTTTTCCATCAATGATGGTTTAACCTGCTCAGGTTTAGGAACCGTTGGAACTATACGCTGGGCTTGGTCTTTTCTTCCGATCTTACCATGGAAACTATACGGTGTAGACTTGATAGATATCTTCCCAAAGGAATAAACATCTTGCAATACTGAATATACTTCTGACAAAATTTTAACCTCCATGTTGTTATCATGCAAATCATTTCCACTTTCCAAATCTTCCAGGAATTTTGCTTCTTTTGATGCTGTTTTTTCCAGTTCTTGCATACCGACATATATTTGCAATTCAGTTGCATATTTTGTCATCGTACTAAACTCGTCCTCCAATTGACCAACCAATTTGGCTCTGTTTTCCATTTCTTTAACAAGTTCCGCCAACTTTGATTTTAATATTGAATGTTTGGCATTTAGATCGCCAAGAATTTGCCTTTCTAGTTTGTCGAAATGATCCTCTAGTAATTTACGCATGGATCTAATTTCCTCAATTCCTTTTTCTTTTTGAGAGTTAATTATTTTAATCCTGTCTCCTATGTGTTTTATTACCTCTTCAAAACTTTCTCTCAAATCCTTTAAATCGTTTTTCAGTAGCGGAATAGCAGCAGATGATTTGACTTCTTTCAAAATGTCAGCCAATGGCTTCATGTCTTGACACTTCTGGTGCGTATCGGCGATACATTGAACGCAGCAAGGACATGCATGGGAAGAGCAATACAGTTCGTACTTTTTGTCATGGTCTTTGCATCTATTGCTTGTTTCGCGTATGGACTTGGGTAACTTATGATAATCTTCAGTGGACATTGTGCTATGTTCCTTAGAGGCTTTCGATCTTTTGTGATGTTTTTCACAATCTGTACAAAGAAAACCTTCACATTCTGTGCACCACGTGACTGCATAATTAGATAGTCCATCGTCCGTACAAAGGGTGCACAAATTTTTACTCGGTAATTCCATTTTTATTTACGATATCATATCTGAAAAGAATTTATATTCTAAAAAATGGTACTTGTTAAGTTACGATATCCTCTTTGTAACAAAGACCACATATGCAATATATTTTTATTGACAGTTGAATGGTTCATTAAAGTAAATATAATTTTCTTACGTACACTTGCAAACTAATGACACTATGACAAATCTTTTAAATATCTAACATATGACATTTAAACTGTATATCAATGTATTTAACTACTAACCATTTAAGTGATCCCAATGTTCCCCTTGCACATATATCCTTCTTAAAAGACACTTCGTCAAAGACCTGTTACGCGACCTAACGCACATCTCATCAGGTCAGAATTCTGAGCAGATGTTTTCTCTCCCTTTATTTTTCCAAAGTAAAACGGTTTCTGACGACTTTAAAAAGACAGGGGACATATACTAAAGGGACATTCAAACTCATGAGTCGAAATTAAACTGACAACGCCATGGCTAAAAAAGAAAAAGACAAACAGAACAACAATAGTACACAAAACACAACATAGAAAACTAAAGACTGAGCAACACGAACCCCACCAAAGACTGGGGATATCTCAGGTGCTCCGGAAGGGTAAGCAGATCCTGCTGCACATATTGCATCCGTCGTTGAACTCAACTCCAACAATGCGTTTCGTTATTTTTTTGTTTTTTTGTTCTGAAAACATTTCATTATTTGAGAAAGTGTTTCCTCGAACAAAAAATTCCTACAAAATTCATTACTAAATCGTTGGTCTTGTTCGAAGTGAGATAGACAACAAAATAAACAAACAATATCATACAATGTTAGAAATAAAGAGGTTGATTTTCATTTTCTTAACATTTATTTTTTTTGTTCCGGTCCTTTCGTAGCTTTGGCACCAACCATTCATCTTTTAGGGAAAAAAGTTTATTTCGGGAAAATTTTCAAATTGCAATGAAAACAATTTGTTTCAATCCCATACAAATAGAAAGTACCCTTTTTTTTACATAAAAAAAACACAGTTTCAATCACTTTATATAATAACAAATCCTCTCTGTGGCTGGCCAGTGGTTTACTGTTCAGATCTGTACATGTATGGGTTTCTGCTCATTAACACACGCCGTTTGGTGATCTGAATATATTTACAAATGAAACAGTCGATATTGGATAAATATTGTACTTATCGGGGTTACGTGGTAAAATGTGTTTCTCTATGGATTTCATGGAAATGCCGATTGCAATGTTCCGAATGGATATGGTGGGAAATTACAGCAGACCAATTTAGTCAAAATGGTCAGATTAAATTGGTGGGGTTCGTGTTGCTCGGTCTTTGGTTTTCCATGTTGTGCTTTCTATATTGATTTTGTCTTTTGGTCGTTTTTTGACTTTATGCCTTGGCATTGTCAGTTTGTTTTCGACAAATGAGTTTGATTATCCTTTGGTATTAAATGTACACAGAATAAGGGAATTGGATTTCATCACGATTTGGTTGACCGTTATGAATATCTGTTTCACAGGTGACGACAGATATGTTCTAATTGTTGTAATATATAATTGTTAAAAGACCAAACTCTCAGATAGGAAAAGTTGACCAGAGACGATTTCGACTGTTCTGTTTATCATGTTTATGTAAACCTCACAAAAATGTAAATAACATGAAAAGTTGTTCAAAACTCGTGACCTGCGCACTAAAATCTGAATTATGAATATTTATTATGAATTAAAGTCCAAACGAAAGTATGTCGGTATATTCATCAGTTGACAATGATAAAATGAAATTAATATTTAAAGATATTCTTACCATACTGTAATTGTAAACGGAATGTGTTCAAGGAAGTAAAATGTCCGCAAACTGGGACATAAATATTCATTATATATCGATTTAATAACATGCAATTGAAATGGTCTACCTTTAAAGGTTTAAAAGATTTGAACGTGTATGGAAAAAATAAATCATAGGTAAAGACGTGTCTGCTTATAGAAGATGTTTTATTTCCGCTAAATGGGCTTACCAAAGCATATTACAATATAAGACGTTATTTAGACAACAACAACAAAACAATAATCAAGTATACATACAAAGAACAAAAAAGCAGTTTGAACATGAATTAACTACACACATATATAAATATATATATAAATGACTGAATAATAGCAAACGATAAATCTTACGGGGCGATGGATCATATAATTATGATACAGTACACTACAAAATATATTATATAACAAGTCTAAAAGGGTACAACATCACCAAAAAATAATAATAAAATGAACAAATGTTAAATATTTCGGATAACAGATATCCTTCTTCAGTATGATCACGATGTAAAATGAATCATATCAATCTAGTCTGATTATAAAACTATAACAATCTTGAAATTTATACAATAAAACAGTCAAAACTGAACATCATAGAGACGCTTGTACAATTCTAAAATTTTAAACATGACGTTGGTTATGTAGCTATTTGCAACAGAGACTGCAAAGATATGCTTCAAATAAAATTAGTAATGTGCGATATGAACTGGTACAACTCAAAAATTTCAAAGGTAACGACAGTTAAGATGTTACAACAACGATTGCGTGGAAATACATTCCCAATAAACAGCACTGACCGATCCAAGCTAGTATAATATTTCAAATTTGACAACGGTAGAGTAATTAAAACAGAGGCTGCGTATTTAAACATCCCAAAAAGATAGCAGTTTGATAATGATTAAAAAAATAATAATAAATTTTGACTGAGGTTAAATAATTGAACGTGACTGCGTACTTATACATCCCTCCCAAATGAATAGAACCCTGTAAATTAAACTGGTATAATTAAAAAATTCCTTAAAACTGTAAGAGTCCAGTACGGAAGCCTGAGTTACTGGAAACAAGTGATGACAGGAAAATTAGTGATAGTAGGAAAAATGAGTGACTCATTCTATGTTTTTTTCATTTATGCCCTCTGGGGAAACTGTCCTTATCTTTCTTATCCAAAACCTTTCCCGAGCGAGTCTGTCGGCCCTTGACCAACCCTCGTTGTGGTCTATGATTGTGATGGTAAGGTTTTTGAGATCAGCTTGGGAGTGCCCAGGTGATCTCAAATGACGACTTACGGGGAGGTCGGGCTTGTAGGTGTAGTCACTTCGATGGCCATTCATGCGGAACTATTTTGCTGTGCCTCTTCTGTTTGTACTGTAATAGGTCATTGCGGTTGTTATTGTTAGCACGCGCAAACCCCTTATCTATGTCCCGTTTCTTATAACCTCGTTTGGTCAAAAATCCGTGAAGTTCCTGTAACCGTTTAGTGACAGCCTCCTCAGAGGAGCAAATCCGCTTTACTCTGAGAGCTTGACTGTACGGGATACTTTTTGTACAGTGTTTGGGGTGACAGCTTTGGGGAGAAAGGTACTGATGTTTATCTGTAGGTTTACAGTAGAGGTCTGTTGATATGACACCGTCCTTTATAGATGTAGTTGTGTCTAAGAAAGATATTTTAGAGTCGAAAATTTAATTGACTGGTGGGCGTTGTTTGCATGTCTGATAAAATCATCCAATTTTTGTTGGGATTCAATCCATTTCATGTCAACATCATCGATGAAACGGAACCAAGATAGAGGTTTGGATAAAGATGTTGAAATGATGTGTTTCTCTAATTTGCCCATGAAAATATTGACGTAAGACGGTGCCATTTTCGTCTCCATCGCTGTCCCGTTTATCTGAAGGTAATGTCCCATATTTCCTTACAAGACTGTATTCTGTCATCATGAGGTATGTTGGTATACAATGAGGTGACATCTAAAGTGACAAGGAGCGTTTTCGGAGGAAGAGGGTTCATGGATTCCATTTTACGAAGGTAATCTGTAGTGTCTTGAATGTGAGAAGGAAGATTTTCTACATGAGCTCTTAAATGAAAGTCTACGAATTCCGAGATTTTCTCAGTCGGGTGGCCGTTTGCGGATACAATGGGTCTACCAGGTTTGTTAACCTTGTGTATTTTGGGAAGAAGATATAATCGACCAGGCTTGGCGTTCTCTGGTTTAAAATATCCGATTGTATCCTCATCTATGTGACCGTCATTGTGCATGGTTTGTATCGCAGTAATAATTTTGGAACTAAACTCGGAAGTAGGATCATGGTCAGGTTTTTTATAAAATCGCTCATCAGAGAGCTGACGCTCTGCTGCCGCGATGTAGTTAGCTTTGTCCATTATCACAACGGCACTTCCCTTGTCTGCTGGTTTTATCACAATATCATCTCAGTTTCTCAGCAATTGTATGGCTTTTTTCTCGTCAGAAGAGGTGCTATAAAAGGACGAGTACTTGTTGATAGCTAGATGAACAACATCCGATTTGATTTTGTCGATAACATCTTCCAGTGTAGCAGATTTGCTTGGTTTGGGAATTCTGATTTCTTCTTTCGATTCAGACGTGTCTGAGTCTTCCACATTATCCTCCTCATTGTCCTTGTTACCAAAGTATTCTTTAATTCTGAGGGTTCTGCTCGGGAAAGGTTTTGGATAAGAAAGCTAAGGACAATTTCCCCAGAGGGCATAAATTTCTGCTCGGGAAAGGTTTTTGATAAGAAAGCTAAGGACAGTTTCCCCAGAGGGCATAAATGAAAAAACATAGAATGAGTCACTCATTTTCCCTACTATCACTTATTTTCCTACCATCACTTGTTTCCAGTAACTCAGGCTTCCTGGACTCTTACAGTTTTAAGGAATTTTTTAATTATACCAGTTTAAATTACAGGGTTCTATTCATTTGGGAGGGATGTATAAGTACGCAGTCATGTTCAATTATTTAACCTTAGTCAAAATTTATTATTATTTTTTTAATCATTATCAAACTGCTATCTATTTGGGATGTTTAAATACGCAGCCTCTGTTTTAATTACTCTACCGTTGTCAAATTTGAAATATTATACTAGCTTGGATCGGTCAGTGCTGTTTATTGGAAATGTATTTCCACGCAATCGTTGTTGTAACATCTTAACTGTCGTTACCTTTGAAATTTTTGAGTTGTACCAGTTCATATCGCACATTACTATTTTTATTTGAAGCATATCTTTGCAGTCTCTGTTGCAAATAGCTACATTACCTACGTCATGTTTAAAATTTTTAGAATTGTACAAGCGTCTATATGATGTTCAGTTTTGACTGTTTTGTTGTATAAATTTCAAGATTGTTATAGTTTTATAATCAGACTAGATTGATATGATTCATTTTACATCGTGATCATACTGATGAAGGATATCTGTTATCCGAAATATTTAATATTTGTTCATATTATTTTTTGGTGATGTTGTACCCTTTAAGACTTGTTAAGTAGATATATATATATATATATTAAAGTAATTATGTATATATTATCTATACATATATATGTTTAAAAGTGTTATACCTCCTCCTCAGGCACATACCAACACGAAATAGTGCTTTTAATGAATTGTCAATGTATTGGATAGTATGTAACTAAACTGCAAAAGCCATCAAGGGACGGTGCTGCATGGCAAGGTGGGAGATAAACGCACATTGTATACATGTACGTTTATAGACAATTTGGTTATAGTATTATTAGCAGATGCTCAAACCTGGCATGTCATCCTCGTGCTTGATGCAGAGGGGTTGATACATATTGTAAGGTGACCCGACTACAAGAGGCAAAAAGGGACGATGCTAAATGACATTCCCAAGTATACATAAAACCAAATAGAAAAATACTTATATATATGGGAATCATTCTGATTGTAAATGATGAAATATATACAAAAAGGAACATTATTATTATTGGTGAGTTTAGCAAACCACAATGCCATCCTCGTTCCTGAATCAGAGAAGCTAGATCTATATTTTGCCTTCATCAATCAAATCACAAACAGATATTATTATCAACATTCTCTACATTAAGTAGCCAGATCAGTTTTTGGCTAGGAATCAAGTGCCTAAAATAGGACAATATGAAGTACATGCAGTTTCATATGTAAAATAAAAAATGTTTTTCATCATCAATTTCATTTGAGGTGCACCTCGAGAAATACTATGATATCTACCTAGTTCAATCTAAGTCTATGTGACGAAATACGCAATCGAGTAAAATTTCTCCTCCGCTCAGGGGATCGCAATAAAATAAGATATCGTTCAAGACCAACATTTGTCTTGAATTAAAGTGCTATAGCTACAGAGCTTTCCATCAGCACAGTTGTGCATTTGGAGTCTCCACTTATCCTCCTAGTACTGGTATAGAATTTTATATAAAATTTATTTGTATAAAAAATTAAAGCTATAATTGCTTGCAGAAGTTAAACTGCCAACCCCTTCAATAACCTTTAGAAAGAAGTTAAAGGATCCATACCATGACGAAATGTTTGACATTGGCAATCTTAACTGAATATCATACAGTTATTATTACAGTATACGTATTGTAAGGGTTACAGTTACTGTACATTTAATTGTGTACTGAAAAGCAATACCACACAAGTATTTGTACCCCATGTATACAAATAATATATATATATACATATATGTAAACATAGATTTTAATGTATTTTTTTATAATCAGTGCTAATGAAGAATATGTATTTTAACAAATGTACATTGAAATGGCAAGATAATTATAAAGTGCCAATAAAAAAACAAACAAATTTATTTGTAAGTTTACTTCAATATACCAAACATTTACATGTGCACGTATGTGACCTTGTAAATGTATGTAAATTCCCTATTAAATGAACAGATATAAAAGGAAAGTAACATGCAGTCCCCCTTTGAAATGCTAAATTTGCAACAATACATGAAAAAATAAACCAAAAATTAACAAATTAATGACATAAGTTGAAAACAAATTGACAAATTTA